AGCTGAGCTGCTCTTCTGCAGCAAACCCTCTCCCTGCCTCGGTTTCCCACTGTGCTGTGCTAACAGTAGCACTTCTGAACAGCATTGTCCCCAGGTGAAGTGTCTAAATTACGAATTTCGAAGCCTAAATAGCTCGAGAGTGATCCTAACGAGGTGAAGGTTTTGCTGCTTGCTGGCTTACTGCTGGTCAGCCCAGATGCTGCTGCGTGACGCCTGGGGAGCCAGGCTGGCTTGGAGGGCTCGGCTCCAGCTCAGGCTGCCTGCTCGCTGCCTGGGGAGCCTGGTCTGGATTAGCAATCTGGCACTCTGCAGTCCCTGGCCTGTCCCTTGTCCCCGGGGAGCGCAGAGAGCAGCTGCTCTGGGAGTGTTTCCCATCGCTGTGACAGCTGGGGCTGCCCAGAGCACGCGTGCGCTCACGGGAGCTGCAAAGCCAGAGGAAAGCAAAGAGCCACCTGTGGTCTTCCCCCACACCGAGACTCCCTTTCCCCTGCTGGGGACAGCGGCCCCCCTCCCTTGTCTGACCCTCTCCCTGCATCAGTGGAGTTTCCTGGCCTGGCAGGAAAGAGCCGCCTTCCTGTCTGGCTGGACGGGGACTGACGTGGCTTTGTGTGTCTCTGCTCTTCCTCCCTTCAGGCTTCGACTGCCGCTGCGGGAACCTGTTCTGTGCCATTCACCGGTACTCCGACATGCACGCCTGCCCCTACGACTACAAGGCAGAAGCTGCCGAGAAGATCCGTAAGGAGAATCCCATCGTTATCGCTGAGAAGATCCAGAAGTTGTGAAAGGGGCTGAGAAGCTCAAACTGCAGCCAGGCGGCCTGGTGCTCCTCCCCTTCCTCCCAGCCTTCCTTCTCTTCCTCCCAGCCCCATCTGAGGTGCAACGGGGATCCAGCAGCACACACAAACCAGCACCTGGACACGGGGACTCCTCGCAACTCCCTTCCTGCCCGTCCAGCAGCCGCAGCTCAGCTGATCCGTTCTCAACCAGCTTCCCAAAGGAAAGGGACCGTCCTGCCCCGCTGCTCCTGTGCTGAGACCTTCGGCCTTGTCTTCCACCGGGGCGGTTTGCGCGGCGGGGGCAGCAGGGCTCTGCCGGGCGGCCTTTCCCTTCAGCCGACGGCTCTGAGTCCTGCGAACCGCCCGGGACTCAGGGCTGGAGCTCGTGAGCAGCCGCTGGTCTTTGTTCTCCCTCTGCCCCACTGTCTCTTTGTGGCTGATGTAAAACCGGGAGCTGGGGGATCCCGGCAGCGAGGCTGCCTTCTGCTTCCCGAGAGGTGTTTGGTCTTAGATGCAGACAAGAGGATTCTGTAGTTTTAACACCCCAAATACCCCTCCCCTCCATTCAAGACGCTGTTGTTGAAGCACCGGGATGGTTAAGCCGCAGAGTACCGGCACAGTGAGGTTATTTTGTGGCTTGAGGTGCCGGAGACACGCTCCAACCGTGGGTCAGGACCTTTAGGAAAGCCCCGCTCGCTGCCTCATGCCTCTCGCCACGGGGAGGGAGCCAGCCTGAAAAAAAAACGGGGCCGTGGCTGGGCTGCCGGACACCCTCGCACCAGCCCCCTGTGCTTCAACACCCCTGAACAACCACTGACCACTTCCCCGGTGAGGTTTGTTGTAACACAGCGGCACCTGCGCTCTCCCCTCCCCTCTGCTCCCTGCCTTCTGCCTTACACGATTCTTTCTCATCAGGGTTGTGCACAAAGCTCAGATCGCCCAACCTCCGCTTCCTTTCCTGACCCTGCACGCAGGCGGACGGTGGGGACCCTTCCTGCCCCGTGGACTGTGGTGGTCCTCAGCGAGAGCCTTCCTCCCCTGTGAGCACGTTGGCTTGGGGAGCGCACCCAGCTGCCTCGCTCTGCTGCCTTGCGGCTTGTCCAGGCAGGGCCAGATCTCCAGGAGATGTTCCAAAAGCCAGGCAGAGGGATCTGGGGCACAGGGAAAGACACGTGGAGGGCTGCAGGGCATGTGAAAAGTCGTGAGGAGGGTCCTGGGGTGCCCAGAAGCAGAGGCGGAGCCCCTTGGAAGGCCCTGGGGAGCAGGGAGAGGCACTTGGAGGGCTCTGGGCCCGCTGAAAGACTCGTAGAGTTCTCAGGGGCCAGTGGAAGACTGTGGGTGGGCTCTGAGGCGCAAGGGAAGGCAAAAGGGGAGCTTTGGGGTCACGTGAACAGCCTCAGAGGACTTGAGCACCCCGAAAGGCACATGGGGTGCTCTGGGGCGCACACACAGATGTGGAAGGCTTTGGGGTGCAGGGAACGCCTAGCGCTGGGCTCGGTAGCGCTCCAGAATAAACACGTGGAGGGCCGTGGGGCTGGTAGGAAGGAAAACGCAGGGCTTGGGTGCACAGGGGGCTCCTGGGGCGCACGGAAAGCCACCACTGCACCACGTAGGGTCTGCACCCGCACCGGGGCGAGGGGCTCCCCTCCCTGGGAACACCAGGAGCGAGGCTGCGGCCACAGGGCTCCGGGCGGTCTCGGAAGGGGAGAAGCCCAGATGAGTCCCAGGGGAAGAGCAGCAGCCTCTGCCCTGCTTCTGGCCGTCCCACGCTTGGGAAGCGTTTCCCTTGGCATCGGCTCCAACAAGGGCGTTGGGGAGCGGAGCTGCAGGGGCCGAACCAGCAGCCGGGAGGAATCACGGCAGCTCCTTCCAAGCGCCGGTTTCCTCCTCTGCTTATGGCAGTTCTGCCCCAGTGATTGTGGGGGGATCATTCCAAAAGTTTCGTTTCCCCTGATTTCAGCCAAAGCGGTGTGCGCCCTGCAGCAGCCACCGGTGTTGCCGGGAGGGTTCAGTCATCCAAAAAT